CATGTTCTGATTTTTTATCATTTTGTGTAACATATTAATAATCTCACTATGGGACGTTTTGACTGATGGCGCCCCATATAAAATAAAATTTTATTAACAAAACTACTTTGGAGTTCTAATAAAAAAAAATTCTCTGTGAAATTCCGAGTATAACCCTTTCAAGCTTTTAAACTTTACCCTAAATATAAAAAAAAAAATTTAATCAATCGTACATATTGAACCATTGGGACTATAATTAATTCAGTTGCAATCGTCAGCAAAAAATAGATAAAGATGATTGGCTAATAATATGTAAACTAATCTAAAAATAGGTGAGAACATAAACAAAATCTGGTCTGACACCTCCAGACAATAAAGAATCGCTGTTCAATTGATACGTGCCTTGATGAAGGCGTCAACATCCACACGAAAGACCCTAAAAGCGACGACCAAAACCATTCCAACACCCGGAACGCGTCTCGCAACTGCTAATCCTTCCTTAGCAAAACAGACCATCAACAATAATTTAAAATCTCTAAATAAAATTTGGCATGAACGCTTAGATATTGCAAATAAGCGCGTATTAACCGACTCCAATATCCAAAACATTGATGATAAGAATGTATCATCTCACTCAAATGTCCAAACTTTGATTAACGCGACTCTTACGGCCGTTGGTGAATTAGAGCAAATAGAAACAAAGTTAAATCTTAGAGCATTAGACCTCGAAAAGGCATACTCGAATTTGATAAAGAGCATGATAGACTTTGGTTTGGTAGTCTTGTTTTCTTAATTTGGGCTGTTTTTGAGAATTAAAGTTCGGTTCAATTCTTTTAATGTATTTTATTTTGAATAACCTAGTATAGAGAAGCCATTCAGCCTTTATTAAAGCTCCGAACGCGTCTTTTGAATTATCTTGGAGCAACCAATGCATCGACAAATCCAAGTAGAAGCTCTAATGTCCTTCAAAATATGACACGCCCACAAATGAAAAATAAAATTGGCAGAGAACCAAAGCATATTAATAGTTCGAATTGCCTATTTAATTTATTTTCTTTTCATGCTCTCAATAATAGCAAAAATGTAAATAATGAGGTAAAGTTACTGGTTTTATCGAGCTTAGTATATGCATATCGGTGCTTTATAGAGCTTGAAGAAATACAGTTTATCAAGGTATGTGTAATTACGAACAGTGCTGTAAATATCTAAAAGTCGTGAACTATACGTCAATTAGTGCAATATTTGCAATTTTGTCCCCATTGCCAAAAGTAACCTTCTTTGCTTCTAATAAATGTTTATTTATAAAAGCGCTTGCCCGAAATCTTAAAAAGTAATGATAGTGGAAATCCCATCAATATTTGCCAATCTTTGAGAAACGCAGACATAAAAAATATGACCATATATGCAGAAATGTTAATGCGAATAATCTCGAAAGCATGTGCCAAACTTCAAGACCTCTCAGGTATTATAGTGATTACGTTACTGATTTATTCTTAATGCAAGTTTTTATTCAATACGGTAATCCAATTTTAAACTAAATTCGAAGAACCAATACTTATGCTAAGACTGCGAACGGCTTCCTCAAAATTATTTATCATGACGGCATGTTTCAACTTGGCAAGTCTTTTAGACTATGTGCTGGCAAGTGCAGTGCAATTTGAGAAAACGACGATTAATGAAAATAGTATGTATATCCTTTTGAATTGGATATTAGTCGTAGATTTAATTATACTCTTTCTTACAATGTATACTATTAGCCATGTATCACGAACTATTAAATTTCCATTGTGAAATTTCGACATTAATTAAAGTACACATACATGAAGCTATACAGCAAATTAAGTATTTTAAATGGTTAGATCATTTTGCCCGCGTGGCTCGGCTGGTAGGCGATAGTTATTTCGGTTTTCATACCATTTATAATAGTTGCTAATGTAAACCTATAAACTTATAGGTTAACAATCGCTCGGAAATTATTTCAAATTATGAAGATACCGTAAATTTGCTGATCGAACGCGTGAAATTGGAAGAACCACATAATTGTTTGGCGGATATTCTACGTATTGCCACACTGAGAATCAATGTTTTTTCTTTGATTTTAGAAGAGCTATCATACATGCCCAAATGTAAAAATTTTAATAATCTAATAATTGAAATAATAAATTGTCTTTACTCTAGTTAACCAAATTTTAATTAGATTTTGAAATATTGCCGAAATTAAAACAATTGCAACAAGATTTGCGAAATATTATTGTTCTTATTCCATCAAGTGTACAAAAGACTGAGCTATCTAAGGAAGAAATATGTGCTAAATCACAGTTGTTTAAGGCGGCTGAATCATTAAGGCGGCCATGGTGTAAAATTATGGAATCCATGGAAGATAATTCTAAGAACAAACCTGTAGGGGGGATTTGTACCATTATTAAAGAAACCATAGAAGACATTGCTTTATGTTTAAATACAGTATGCGTCAATTTTCACAAATATAAGGTAGGGAATATCTTTCAATTCATTTCAATAGTATGGATTAAAGGGCATCATTATAAGTTCCTTTTCGAATTATGTTTAATAGTGCATATTTTACTGATTTTAACCTATTCATAGATTCCTTTTTCTCATAAAGATTCGGATAATCTAGATCCAGAAAAAGCTTCCCTAATTGCTATCAGTATATATGAAGACCTTTCTAGGTTCACACTAGCTTTCTATAAAACAAGCTCCTTAAGGACATGTATTTGTTATATCGAAAAAGCACTCGAAATTGCACATAAAACATCTTGCCATGAAGGGCTTCTGTGGATTTCTAATTCATATTATCGAATAGGTGCCTTCTATCATAACAATAACCAAGTTCAGCTTGCGATCGAACCAATACAGCATGCATGTACAATTTTGGACAAATATATGTGTAAAATGCAACAAACAAGCGATAAACCTTCAAAAAATATAGAGGCAATTCAGGCACAGTTGAGCAAAAGGTATGAGGCCTTAGGAGCCTGCTGGAATATGTTGGGTGAAACCAAGGTTTGTAGAGAATTAATTGATTTTGAATGTTCACCGAAGAAATATTTCTAAAGAGGCGCATTCTTATATAAATTTTTGTTAAGAATGCTCGTATTTCATTTGAGAATGCACTTAGATATTTTCCGAAAAGTGAATTAATTCACCTTTCAGAACTGGTTTCGACACAAGGAATATTTTCTGCGTTTCAACAAGCATCAACAGTTTCAAAGTTAATTGAACGCTATATTAAATTGTCATTTGCTGATGATCTGGATATCAATGTTTCATTACCACACGAAATTTTGTCAGACGATAATATTGAATTAGCAGGTTTAATGGAATATGAACTGCGTGTGTTAAAAGCATTTGAAGATAAATTGAGCGGTTCAAAAGTGGATTCACTATTAATTGAAAAATTATTGACATTGTATTGTCGAGAGGAGTTTCCAATTCGCAGGGCCAGGTTTGTTAAAGTTATCGTATAGTTATTTATTTGTCAATTAACATATGGATTTCCTAATATGAATTAAAAAATAGGGTATTAATCGAAAAATCTAAAGTAATGAGATATAAAGAAATAAATATGGAAATAACAGCTATGGCATTAGCTGAAGAGGCAATAGAATTATTAAAATCAGATGTAATGTTTTTTTTTATCATTTAATCATTTCAGTTTTTTTCGATATATAACACCTGTTGTCATTGTAGAATGCAGGGCAAGATGCGTCACTTTTGCACCTTCGTCCACATTATTTAGCCATTGCATATTCTTGGATTGGTATCTTGATACTAGAATCTGGAAAACAAGCTACTGATGTATTTAAGCGTGCCTTGATTATTTGGAGAAGTATTTTAGCAAACATTCCTCTATGTTTCAATGAGAATACTGCTTCACAATATGATATTGAAAAAACTAAAAAAAGCATTGACGATGTGGAAAGATTCTACGGACATCTTCGTATCCTTTAATTTTAAATTAGTTTGTTAGTATTTTAGTTCTGATGATTCAAGTTAGTTTTATCCTTGACATTATGTTAGAAATGCTAGCTGATTTTCTTGCAATGTCAAATCAGCCAATCAATCAGATTTTGACATTAAAGCTGATGTTAGGACTAAACAATGGCATCAAAGATGATGTAAAAGATTCTCATTCTGGTATATTTTATCTGACTTCGTCTAGCATTTAATTATATTATTTATATATATATTTATTTGTTTATTTTAAATAGATTCAGTAGCTTTATACATCCAAATTGGTAAAATTTACCTTAACCTCGGATATACGGGTAAAGCTGGATTGGCGTTTTCGCAAGCAAAAGCCATTCTTGATTCTCATAGATGTGTCGATGATGTACATTTGTCATGGATGTTGGGATATAGTCATTACCTATGTTCTATTGGAAACATTGATAAAAGGTTTGATTTCACAATTATGGATATCATATATTTATTAAATTGAGAAATTAATCGTCTTCAATTTTAGCATTTTGATTTTTAACCAGACAAAGCCCTTTGCTGATCGCAGGATTACCCAAAATGATGCTCGCCATAGAAAACATGAACAGTGTTTGTTGGCGGATGCTTATTTGGCGCACTCATATATTTCAATACGTTTGGTAAAGATTTATTTGAAGAAATATATGTAAAACTTCAGATATTTATTGTGTGCTGTACATTTAAACTCATTTATATGCTTTGCAATAAATATAAGCATGTATGAGAATGATTAATTATTAACATTGGAATAACCAACACAGTATAACATATTTGTTATATTAGGGTATCTTGGAAGATGCTATTGTTTACTGCACAGAGGCCGTACGACTGCTTAACAGGCTGATGAGAAGTATTAATAAAAGTTCAAGGTGTTTAAAGGAGCAAATGAACGCAACTGCCAACCCATTTCTTGTTGATAAAACAACAAATGAGTCTAGTTTAATTAAAGATGGGAATTATGTCGGCGGATTTTTGACATTGTCAGCTCAACGTTTGCGATGGCGTGTAACTAATGTATGTTATTATAATCTAAATCATTCTGTTCTTTGTAAATTGTTCTGGTGAAATTTAATGACCAAGAATTAATTATCAATAGAAATTTCTTGAATGTTTTAATCAACTTGGTCGACTTCACATATTGCGCGGATGCGCCAAAGAGGCAGATTATTTTTTCAAAGAGGCTTTAAATTTAATTGAAGTTTCAAAAGTAAATTCTGCCATGAGTCTTTTTTTATTGAACATCGCTGAATTAGAATATAGAAAGCATTGCTGGAAGGAGAGTAAAGAAAAATTGGAAAAGGCATTAGAGCATCAGCAGAAGGTGAACTAGTTTGTTTATTCATATTGAAAATATTTATACGAAATAATATGGTTTTTATGTTCATTTTGTATAATGCATTTCATATTAGGTCGACATTTTTCAAAAAGAAGTTGCTTTGGCGAACTTGTGCCTTGGTGACTTTAAGCATCGAGAAGGCGATTTCAAATTTCTGGAAGGAGATTCCAAATTTCAGTTGCATTGTTATAAATCTGCATTCGAATGCTATCAGCGTGCAAACGATATTTTAGCTGATATTATGAAAGTGGATTATATAACGAAGCTTGAATGCACTGATGCGAGGTTTGTTATTTAAAATCTTCTAAGTCATTATGGATTTATTTGGGTCTTTATTTATATAATCAATTTGTAGCATATTTCAAACACCAACATGTAAAAAATTTGTCACAAATCATCCAACTAGCCCAATTGCTAAAATTACAGGGGATGGTAAGAATTTACTTGTCTAATTTCAGAATAATACATTTTTATAAATTTTGTATAAGATTATTTTTCCGATGATTACGCTATAGGTGCAGTTCAGTATGAATGCTTTTTACTTTCATACATGAAAAGCGAATTGTTTCGTCGTCAAGGTTTGAAATGCATTGATATATACATATATTTCAAAACAGTTGATTATAAATATTTTGCTGACTTTAGCACTAATTGCAATTGATATAGGTTGGGTGTTAAGTAAGCAAGGGAGTGTTAGTGAGGGCATTAGGTTAATTGAACTCAGTTCATATTCAAATCAATCGTGCCTTGAAAAGGTCAATTAATTTTTTAATCTTGATAAGTTTAAATATTTGGATAGACACGTTCTGATTATGTCTATTACAGGCAGAGCACCTATTTGCATTGAGCAAAGCTCATATCATGAATATAAATGATACACTAATGAACCAAAACCGTTTAGTGTTTGATAATGTTAGAGACTCTGGTAAGTATGCAAAAATTGTGTATCTTTATTTTTAAAAGAATTTTCTTTTGATTTTTCTACTCTTATATGCAAAGTACTATCCTTTCCGTTGATGGGAAAAGCAAACAAAAAAAGGTCACGAAGGGTAGTTAAATCAAAGACAGAAATTTCATCTCATCTGCTCCAGGAAATTGATAAAGTGATTGAATATTTAACAAAAGTTTATGATCTGGTTTATGAATGTGGCCCAACACAATTGTTGCAAGAAACTTCGTTAAGTATTACAATGATGAATGTGATCAAATCTTATGGGCAAGATCAAAACCTTGATCAGTCTGAAGTGGCAATCATGTGTGCTTATTATTTGGGTAATTCTTAAATTTCAATTCTTTAGAGCCAACAATTGAGTTATTTACGTCCAAAAATCTTTTATTGTTTATTAGAGATGACTAAAGCACTTACGGCTAAAAGGCAAATGATTGCTAAATTGAATGAGAAATTACGATCCTCCCTGACATATGATGATATGCAATGGCCAAAACAGATTACAATATCAGCACGTTTAGATGAAATCAATGATTGTGATGATGTCTTAAGTGGTGAAGTTGGTTCTCAAATGGATTTTTTAAAAACTTTATCAAAGCGATATACGAAAGAATTATCATTAACTTATGAACAGTTTCAATCCGAATTCTTGGACATCTTGCCGCACAATTGGGTTGTCTGTTCGATTTCTATTGATATTGAAACAAATGATATGTATATTTGTCGGTACCGAAGAAAAATATCACCTTTATTGTTAAGATTGCCCTTGAAACGTCAGTCGATCAGAGAAGGTGATGAGGGTGGCTTTACTTACAGTGATGCAATTAAGGAATTCAATGACATACTAGAATTGAGTAATCAAAGTATGCGTGCTGGTAAAATGTCACAAAATAAACGTGAAAAGGTAGAATGGTGGAAAGAAAGGTCACAATTGGATTTGAGGCTTAAAGAATTACTTGATAATATTGAGGATTGTTGGCTTGGTGGCTTTAAGGTGACATATAATTGCCTTTTATACATGTTTTATATTGTATTTTAAAATAATTTTTATTCCAATTGTATGTAGGGAATTTTAATGGCAAATACACATCATGATCCCAATCAAATTTCTCGCTTTAAGGAAAAAATGGATAGTATAAATTTTAGATGTGATGTGCGCAAACCGTCTGCTAAATATCAAGTAAAAAACAAGCTTGATATTGATGTAGAGTTATATAAATCGTTACTTCGTTTAGGTGCGAATCCCAAAGATGAAGATATTGAAGATGTCCTTTATTTCCTTGTGGACGCTTACAACAAATATAATGACGAACAGATTGGGTATGATGAAATTGATTGGGACAAAGTTAGTTTTATTTTATCATTATTTTGGCGAACTTTGTGATTTATCAATGTTATATAATAAACATCTTTAGCCCGCGCTTACCCTTTATTTATATATAGCTCACTATTGATATTCGAGAAATAATTTCTAGCATTAATTTTGTTGGTTCGTCTCAAACTGATAATCAGCATGTGATTTTGATTCTCGACAAGAATGTTCAAATGCTACCATGGGAAAGTCTACCGTGTTTGCGATCTCAGGCTGTTTCGCGATTGCCTTCTCTGTCATTTTTAAGAGATCGTATAATGTTTATGAATCATATTAATAATCGACAATGTGAATCGAACATTTCGAACTATGTTATTGATCAACGCAAGGCTTTTTATGTTCTCAATCCGAGTCAAGATTTAAAGCATACACAAAATGAATTTGAAGATTTTGTAAAGAGGTAAGTTATGAGTTCATAAATATATATAATTTAAACAGTTCTTTATGTCTTTATTTTATTATTATTTTATAGTTTTCAAGAGTGGGATGGGGTTATTGGTCGCCCTCCTTTTGAGCTGGAATGCAAAAATGGTTTGGCAAATAATGACCTTTATATGTATGTATTGCAGTGTCAATACAAAATTATTTTTAGCAACGTATTATATACTTAAAATTTTATTTAAACTAAAAATTTTAGTTATGTTGGCCACGGTACTGGAGAGCAATATATTCGAAGTAATCGTATCAGAGCCCTTGAACGTTGTGCAGTTACACTGTTATTTGGTTGTAGTAGCGGCTATTTGTGTAACGGAGGAGAGTTTGACCCATCGGGTACAGCTTTAAGTTATATGATAGCAGGCAGGTCAGTATTTACAAGAAACTTTATTTGTGTTCTTATCACTTGTTGATAATTTTTTCATTTAATAGTCCAGCACTTGTTGCTAATTTATGGGATGTCACGGATAAAGACATTGATCGGTTTAGTAAGGCGCTTTTCAATAAATGGGAATTATGTCCTAATTTTACAAGTGCTAATGATGATATTAGGAGTTATCATTCCAAAATTGATATGAATTCAAGGAGGGGGATATCGTTGGTCCAAGCTGTATCAATGGCAAGGAACGAATGTAAGCTGAAATATCTAATTGGTGCAGCACCGGTTGTTTACGGTATTCCTTGTTATTTAAGTGATGGCAAATGATATAGTCATAAACGTTTTTATGAAAATGAACATAAATGTTATTTTAAATTTGGCAATGTCATTTATTATAAAAAAAAAAATAGGTCACAAATTTTTTCATAATATGAAACTTTTAAACAGGCCAGCATTTTTTTTTAAATTTCATATATAAAACCTTTGTAAAAATTTTTTTTTTAAAAAACCCACCCGGCTATTAAAACATATAAAATGAAAACAACTTTACCCGGATATAAGAAAAAAATACAGCCTTTAGAGATAATAAGGTTAGGGTTAAGGTTAGAATTAAAGTGGTGTATTTATATGTAAAATTAGGTGCTGAACATTTTTACTTAAGATACCTACACATGATTTTCTTAATAAAATTTTGAGACATTACCAATTTTTTAATTTTTTCTTATACGTATACTGGGTACAAATAGAATCCCTAAAAATTTTGGGTTTTCAAATTTTGACCCAGCCGGGTTATGAAAATCAATCAATTTTGCATTGCCTTATGGCAAAATGACAAGTCAAAAAATATTGTTATCAATGATAATAATACTAATACTGTCACCAATAAGCCAGGATATTATTATTACTAGTCTTTTTAAATTGTACTTATCGTTATACATGGTTCTTCAATTTATGTCATTCGTAGATTAGGAAACAGTGACATTTTGCAATTAAACTTATGCCTAAATGCTACGTATATATTTCAAGATTTTCAGGTTGCACATTTCTATTTTTAATTATGGCTAATTGCTAACCAATTTTTTTATAAGATCACATAGTAGGCGAAATTTTTGGGGGTGGTGATGCTAGACTTTGTGTTATCTTTCAGGTAATAGAAGAACATTCTGGGATTTCGCAAAACGTTCTAAAAACTATTTGTAAACAGTGCTGTAACAAACGTAAATAATCTGGCTACAAACATTACGCGTCATACAAAATTTCTCTAAATTAATGCATTTTAACTTTTTAACGATATTTTTCGAATGATGATTTTGTGGTTCATTCGTGAGACGGATGCTGAAAAGACAGTGAATAATACTGTCACCTACGTTCTTAATCAAGCTAATAGCTCTGCCCCAGGAATCTTTCCTCATGCATGAGAGGATGATTAGTTCATAGGTATTATGTGGCTATTTTAGTATCACACATAGTTCATCTGCGTGACGGCCGCACAAAGATAACAACTTTGCATATGTACTAACAAGATATGCGTTTGTTAATGATGAAATTTTTATATATCTGAATTAAGCTTGTTGATGAAACTATATAACATAGTTGCACCAACCTTTATTTATTACCATTTACCATTTACCATTTACCTTTGGTGATATTAGTGGTATTGGTATATTGGTGGTGTTGGTGATATTGGTGGTATTGGTGGTATTGGTGATATTGATAGCATATTAAACTAAATTAATTTAAAATTAATTTTAAATCTACAAATATTAGTAATAAATAGTGATGGCAAATGTTTTAAACTATGATTTTAAAAAACATGTTTATTTGATTTAAAACTGTTAAAAATTGGTTTAATACATTATGACATAATATGATCCAAACATGATCCAAATTGCATTATAATTATTAATAAATTAATTGATATTCAAAAAAAAAAAAAATTAAACAATATTAAAAAAACAAATTAAATAAAAAAATTTTCAAAAATGTCTTATATTTACAGAAGACCTTCTTAAAAGAAATCCATTTAAACTTTACAAAAGTTGCTGAACCCAGTAAACATAGTCGAAAAACACCTTGCCAAAAAATGCAATTATTGTGAAAAAGATTGTGTTGATTCAGTTGACTAATTAAAAGGTCATTTATTAAAATATAAAAAACTTTCAAGAAATATAAGAGATTCATTAAAAATTAGAATCAGAATTCTGATCAAATAATAATATGCAATTAAATAAATTAGATATGGATAGTATATTAGTAAGATTTTTTTATTTAGTTGGTATTTCTTTTACAGTTATTAAAAATCCTTTCTGAAAAAAGTTTATAAAAGCAATACAACATTATATTAAAACTGTACATCTATTTTATATTAGTTTTAATTAGTAAATTTGCTAGATTAGATTGAATGACAAAATTTAAATACTATTCTAATGAATATAAAACTAATAAATATAAAATTAACAAATATAAAACTAATATATAATAAAAATTGTATTTGTCAATTAGCAATTATATATTTAAAATCACTAAAAGTTGTATATGCTAATAGGTAAAATTATGTATTTAAACTCTTAAAATAATCAAATAATAAATTTGAAATTATATAACATTGTTTTTTTGAAAATTTCTCTTTAATATTCAATTAGCTGAAACTAAAATTAATCAACCAGAGATGATAATTTTAATTTAGCCATTTTTTAGAATTAGATACTAATATTTTAAAAAAAGTTTTAAAACAATAAAAAATGTTAAAAAACTGTTTAATCTATTTTTTTACCATTCTTAGTAATAAAGTATTCTTGATGAATTGGCAGTACTGATCTTGATAGAGTTAAAAAAAAATTTATTTAAATACAATTCTTGATAAAACTTTAAAAACAAACTCTAATTTTAATTATTTTTATATACTTTTTATAGTAATATAGTATTTTAGAGTTTTTTTTAAAAATTCTATCAAAAACAATATGTAAATTAATTTTTTTTTCTATTTATCAAAAACAGTACCAATGATCCATCAAGATTGATATTTTTATATTCATAAAGTATAATTTACAATTATCTTTTTCTGTTATTTATATTAACATATTTGTGAAACTAATTAATTGTTGCTATTTAGTATTAAATTAGAAGATTTGCTTATATATAGTTCTTTTATAATAATAATCAAATCTAGATTTAATCATTATAGATCTTTCTCTCTCTATTTTATATATAATTTGTTATTTGTTTAATATGCTCAATTTTTAATTAAGTAAAAAGCATATAAGATAAATATAAGACTTTAATTATTAATCTTACTAAATGCATTTTTATAATATTTAGTATTAGTTATTATTATAGAATGAAATTAGAATTGAAGAGTATGAATGAAAGATATTAATTATTAATAATTTGCCAATATAAATAATACTAATAGAATATATAATATTGGTTATAGTTAAGAAAATAGAAAAACTATAAATATATATAAATCTTTAGTATTTTTAAAAGTTATCAACAAATGAATATTTAAAATTAATATTGTTATCATAAATAAATTAGAGTCAAAAAATATAAGCATATTACTAAAATACAAAGTATTTATTAATGTTAGAAAGCTATAAATATAAGTCATGTTGCAAGAACATGCAGTACTTTTAGTTATTATAAAAGATTTAAAATTTATAAAATTAAAAGCACATTTTTAATAAATTGTAAATTACAAATATAAGTAATACTAATAGATTTTTTATAATTAAAAGTTATTATCTAGATAGAATATTTTATATTAGCTAAAAATTTAGAACATAATTTATTTTTAGTTTAATGCAACATCTTATTTCATTATAAATAAAATTATAATTTAATTTTAGCATCAGATATTATACAATACTTAGCTTTTTTATATATATTCTTTATTATTGTTATAATGACAATACTACTATCTTAATTACTAAACATATTTTTAAAGATTAAGAATCTAGCTTTTATAATATTTTTATTTAAGAATTGATAATCTAGAATTTACAAAAATTTTTTTATAGTTTATCTTCTTAATTTTCAAAATTAGTATATACTTATATAAAACATTTTTTATATAAACTATTATAGCTAGATTTTTTTTTGAATAATTAAAAACTTCTTATTAATATACTTGTTTTTATTACATATTAAATTTAATCATTATGACACATCAAACATATTTTATGTTTAATGGTTTAAGCTTAAATAATAACAGTATAACTTTATTTTAAGATATGTTACATTATTCTGAAGAAGATTTTTTTAATCAAAAGTTATCAAATTCATTAAAAAAAAAACAAAAACATGCTGAAGGAAAAAAAAAGATGCTATATGAGATTATGTTAATAAAGATGCAACTTTAAAATAAGAATTTTATATAGCAAGTTGTAAATAGTATAATACAAATTGGATAAGAGAATGTTTACAAGATATAAAAGTTCATTTAGCTAGAAAGTATAATAATATACCTTAAAACATATATCTTGAAATATAAAAATATTATGAAGAGAACATTTAACAAAAACTTCAAATAAACCAATAGTTTATTTAAAAAACATAAAACAATCTAATATTACAACACATTTTTAGCAAATTATACCTGTTTCTGAAAATAAAACAAATAAACTTGACTAGACAATTCTAAAAGCATATGTGTATTGTAGTTTTTTTTTTTTTTTTTTTTAACTAGTCTTTTGGGGACTAGAGCTTTTTTATTCAATATTGTAGAACATAGTAACTTATGGTCTCATTACCTCAGAAGAGCTACCTTATATTAGAGAGTATATCTAGCTATATGTATACTTTTGATGTCTAATTTAAGTAGTTCACCTATATATAGGTTCTACATTAGCTGCCATATCTGCAACCCAACTACAGATGTTGCCTATTTAAACCTTCTGTACTGCAATTCTTACTGTTATCACTAAAACATCTCTGTTACATGATGTCAATCAAGAAGTTCTAGATGCTTACCCATACCCTTAGGACCTCTGCCTTATTTCATGCAGATTATTCTCAAGATATTGTTACTAGAGCCTTTTGTATTCCAAATTACAGCTAAACCTAGTTTACAACTCTTGTGAAGTTTATACAACTCCAGTACTCTTCTTTTACAACCTCACTATTACCTCATCTACCCTTGCAAGTCCTTCTATACTACCAATCCAGTTAGCTCTGCATGATGCAACTTCATGCCTGAATCAACTGGTAGCCAGGTTGATGGACCCCTTACCTAGAGGTTCTTGCCTATACAGGTCACCTGCTCTAGGTTTTCTTCAGTGGATCAAGATCTTTACAGTGGTACTATCAAAAGTTGTACTACCTTTCTA